TGTTGAACAATTATCCAATGTATTTCAATTGCCGAAGTAGTTTTCAATTTCAAATGTGATTTTAAAATTAGGTTATTTCCGCAAAATTGATTGACAAAATTAGGGCGAAAGACGATGACGTGGCAATCCGGGTTAACAGAACTCGGGGCGCTACAAACAGTATTCAATAGCAATCAGAAAATGATTCTTGAACACCTAAAGTCCTAAACAATTAAGACGTAGCTAGACAGAAGAGGGAAACTTCCAGATAAACCAGTAAGAAATTCTTTCACACTCGATTTACGCACCTAGAACTTCAAAATATGAAGCCTTAACATATATAAACGACATGTTTGGAAAGTGATTGTGGGCGAGTATACTTTTTATCCACACATTCTGTAGGATCCACAACTTACAAATACTTGAATATTAGCCTCCGTTTGGCAAATTTATAAATGGTTCATAAAAAGGAATAGTAATGGATCCCATGAAATGTAAATAATAATGAGTATTAGTTATGAATGTACGGTAGAAATTAACGTTTTATATCCAAATGGAAGCTTAATTTTATCACTTACGGAACATGCACAGAATCAGAGTGAAATTATCATGTTGTGTTTATGTGCTTAACATGCTCAATCATTCTTGAATGTGCCTTAATTCAAAAATCTGGACCAGTGAATGGTCATACTTTGCAAGGGAAAACCCATGTAAATTGGGATAGAGAATACATGATTCGAGCCAAGAGGCACTAACAAAAAAATAAACGATGTGTTAAACCAGAAAACGTACAGATCCCATTTTGTCTGGCTTCTCACACTACTCTTGTTCCATGTTGCAAGATAAGGTTCGAGAGTCTACTGGATCCTAAGATTTACCAAAAGATAAATGTGCAATTTACCTATAATGAACACCAGAGAATGACTACATGATGATCACAAATACTCACACTTTCTCTAATTAACTATCAGCAGGCAAGCAATACTTTATGCTCCTTTAAACCAGAAGATAATAGTGCAAGATGATCAAAGCATTTCCAATTGATACCTATACGGATTATACTAGACTCCACAACTCACACAATTGAAGGCCTTCCTATTAACAGTATGTATAGATGGACAGAAGAAAGTGTTGCAGCTATTAATCACCAGATTATTCTGACATCTCTGATCCCCAAAATTGCCAGTATCCATACAAGATGCCTCTAAATTCCAGACAGATAAAGATTTTACAAATCCAGAGGTTAAAAATTCCTAATATTGTATCAGCCTCATATATTCGTACACAACAAAGAATATTGCAGTAGTCAAGATTTCAAAATTCAATTTACTACACTCACACCCCTTTCAAACCAACTCCAATTCTAATTCAGCTATATTGATGAAATCTAAGATATGATTTTGTTATTGAGTGACAATGTATGTAAT